TTATACACACACACACACACACACATATATATATATATATTGTAATGTCATATCATCATCAATCATTTACGCCATCTTATACACGCCTTCATCGCTGGTGTATGCACGATACCTGTAAGCGAGACACACACAAACACATAAACCGCCACCAAAAATGACGTGAAGGTCAACCGGTGAGAACTGGCAGCGTAAAAGAGCTACGACTGCAAACTGTGAATAAACTGGACATTCACTACTTGCCAAATCTGGCACTTACGTAAACTGCAGGTTGTTCAGCTTGTGCAGAATATTGTCGAGTTTGTCCAGTTGATCCAACTTTGAAAGCAATAGATTCTCAACATCACTGAGGATGTGTAACGACTCATTCTGTGCGTCGAATGGTAGAGACAAGTCACAAGAAGTGCAGAGATTTATGAAAATTGACACTTCCTTTCTTTCGCGAGCTCTCCCGGGGCAGTACTTAGACAATAACAGACACCACAGCAGTTCCTCGGCTTTACTGAATACAGGCTCTCAATAGGAATAAAAAGCTCATCAAAGGTATCGAGGTTAAAAGACAACATACGGATTGGCTGGTGACGGCAGTAACGGCTTTTTTGACGTCCCAGTCGCTGCCTGGGGGCGGGGGTGGAGGAGGCGGGCCGGAGCGTGCAGTGGGTGTCATACCATCGGCAGAGTGTTTTGGTGGGGGTGGGGGTGGGGGTGGTACTGAGCCTGACGCTGTGGACGGGATTGGGATCATCAGCTTGTTTAGTGTGTTGCGTATATAGACATGTCTTTGCGCAGGTTATCAAGTCGTGCTGGTGGGAAGTGTGGGTGGCGGTTGCAGATGGCAATGGTTTTGTGTTGGACACGAACTGGTATCTTGTCAAAACCAACGCAAAGACTTGTTCGATGCCATGTCATCCTCAGTGCTATTTCTTTTGTGGCAACAGCGACTTGTGAGTATTGTAGCTGTATCATGTTAAGCTACAAGCCTGCACAGTTTGAGTATCTGTTGTTTATTGTGATTTAATACTACAGTTTCTGATGGTATTCAATAGTGCTAACCTATGTACAAGCACTTACAACGATGTGCACTGCAGACTCTCGCACGCCCATACACATGTGCTACAAAGCTATCAACATCATCGTCCCACATAAATCATACTACCCATCCCTATCCGTTAATCACATATGCCCTCTACATACATGAAATACTGGAGCCCGATGACAGTGCCCCGAGGCTTTCGCCGCTCATCTCCCGTCTGAGTTGGTCCTCCATCTCTTCGAGTTTGTTCTTCATCAGATCCAGGTGGCCCCGTTGTTTTGACAGTCTCAAGTCAGTGAGCTGCTTCTTCACCGCGCGCAGGCGATCGCACGTGGACTGGAGTGACATAGGTTGATACATAGATGTAATCAAAGTGCTTGTGAGTCCAGCATGCTGTGTACCTAATATCTAATGTGTCCATGCATGCGCTGCGCATAGTAGACACTAGATACACTATGGAAATTGGTTATACATTGGCCGTAGCAGACGGTACTTGGGACGTCAACGCTCAGTGAGTTTAAATGACGGTGCGCGCAATCATCGCACTGCGACTGTAGTGTGCGAATACTTCTTGTCGGTGTCTGTGGACCTTATCATCTGTGTGCATTGAGAACCTGAATAGTCCATGACATCCATTGCGCTGAAAACCAACTCACACATACACAGCTTAGTGGTAACGTAACATAAAACCAACCCACACACACTCAGGCTAGTGGTAGCATAGCATAGGGTGAGAGTGTTTGAGTAATCGTGGTGCTTACTTGCAGATGTTCGTCCACATTGCTGGCCTCTGCCTCGCATTCGCTGAGTAGTTCGTCATCGGATAGATTGAAGTCAATGTTTGGCATAGCAATCGGCCCCGACAGATTGCCGCCATTCACCTCGAAGAAGTTGAGCACTGTGTGTGTAAGCGGTTGGACTGAGCCCTTGCCTGTGGCATTGTGTGCTAGTGTGTTGCAGATCCACGGCGTGTCTTGCCTCGCCATGATTATTGGGTATACACACACACCCCACTTACCCCACTACCATATCTCACGCGTATTCTACATAAACACGCGCCTAGTATAATACATACATGTTCTTTCTCTAATGCAGTACATACGTGTGTTCTTTAGCTCCAGCTCTTTCCGCAGCACTAGCGCGTCCTTGCTCTTCAACTGAGCCTGCAGGTCTCTCATCTTGGCCTTGTACTCACTCTCCATAATCTGCATCTCCAGTTTTAGCCGGGCGTTGCTGGTATCCTTCCATGCATCGCTGTCATTTGCATTCGTACAACTGACGCTGTTGTCTACTTCTGCATAGGAAACGCCATATATATATATATATATATATATATATTAATTGGAGCTGTGCGTTTTGTGATGCTCTCAAACACACTCGGCTTCCAAGTTCAGCATGAAGCAAGAGCCAAACAGCAATGCATGAATCCGTGCTACATATACATTCAGAATGTGCACAGGTATATGCAAACATTCATTTTAAATTGATAAAAATAGTCTCCATAGAACCATATGTATATAAATGGCGTTTGTCTACTTACCGTCACTCTGTATAGAACCTCGTGCAGAGGCTGACGCTTCCTGTGGGGTGGTACTCGTCTTCGTGAACTTGCGGTTGGGCTTTGGCCTGGAGACCTTCTGTATCTTGAGCGGTGACGAGCTTGGTAGTGTGGACAATGAGCTCACCCCGCTATTCATCCTGTGAATGATAACGTTGATAAAGTAGCAAAAATACAAGCTTTAGGTTTGGATTTAAACTTTTAAGACCAAGATAATCGGCGAGTGAAGACCGTGCTGTTACACTGATCCTACAGTGGGTCTGAAGAAGATTCGAGAAGTAGTTGTGTGGCTGCGAAGGCCGTGCGAGATTCTGCGCCACACACAATCTTTATACAAGACTGTAGACACAAGCTGTGATCATGCGTGTATATAGACAACAATATATATCTTTCCATATTGTCAATACAGTCACGGGTAATGTGAGGGGCTCTATGCACTGTAGGGAGTGACCTAAAGAACATTTGGTCTTCTGTTATGGAATAGTACCGATCCGAGTTCAAAGCACTTGCTACCACTCGATTTTGGTGGCACTTGAATTTGTCTCATTTTGTCAAATGGGATGCTGCATGTCTCTCAACTAATCACCAGCAGAGTATGTGTAAGTGCATGTGAGGATTACAGTCCACGGAACACAAGAGCTATTTGCTACGAAGTACATGCTGTTTGTACTGTAGCGGATATATTTAGGGAACACACCGAATGAGCCTATGCCACCACCTGCTATTGCAACAAGATTCCGACACCATGACTGAGGCCAGCGGCTACATCTCACTCAGAACTATACGATACACGCACGTCCAAGCAGAAAGCGTCTACCCTTTACCTTGTAGTTAAAAACATGAGCTGCTCCATCATCTCGTTCATTTTGCTGTCGGCGCTTCTGTACCATCGGCTGTGGTCGGAGAGTGTCTCGCTTGTGTCGCGGATGAAGGATTGCAACTTTTCTTTCTCAGTGTCGTCTGAGCATGAGTTGCGGTTGCTACCCTTACCGGTGCTTAGGAACTTCTTCCTGCTCGTGCTCAAGGATGAGCTTATCGATGTACTTAGTACTGTGTGTGTGTAGATGGTGTTGAAGGATGTGTTAGTATCTCACGACATTGGCATATGTCGTCGAACGTATGTTCGAAAAGGTGGTAGGGTTGATTTGGTAGATAAAACACCGTATATTGACCCAATTTACCACTCCCCAATTGCTCTCTATAATGAAAGCCACGGTTTATGATAGCATTTGGTGGTATAGAGTAAGACATTCTCATTCCCACACACTCTACTCAAAAAGTCAGTATAGCACACCTACGCCATTACAGTCGAAATACAAATACATACAACAGTAAATTTCAGATGAATTGGACAATATTGCACAAACACGCACGGACACATGTCGACACACCTGAGGCATTCGACTGGCTTCGGGGGATGGGAGGAGGTGTGACGGGGATGATCTTGGACGTGTGGGCTGCTTTGGTGTTGGTTGTTGGCGATTTGATGGGTATGTATCCCAGTGGTAGTTTGGACTCTGTGATGGGAGGTAAGGCAGATTAGTTAGAGCACTCGAACGTGGACGTAAAAAAAGGATATTGAAAATGCGTCCCAAACTGAAGGTACTATGACAATCGCAGGCTATTTGTTTCCTGTTGTATCATGGGTTTGAGCTTATGAACAGTCGTGTGCGATCAGCAACTCTGCATGTCAGCACAGGCTTTTGGTTTTACACAGGATACTGCTCTCCTACTCCGTGTTGCTTTTTAGAGTAGGTGAAAAGTCGAGGCAGGTGTATAAGCTAAACAAACTCACAACATCCGTGACTACAAATCAACAAAGGATTGATGGTGTACCGTTTCAATCTACACTCCACTTGAACATATATTTCCCTCAGCTGAGACACATGCTCCCAGACTTCGCTTTAAAAAGAGCCATATTCGGTTTAGCGTCGAGTACGTGCGTGAAGGGTATGTGAGAAACGCGGAGTTTCCTACGTGGACATGTAAGATACCTAAGATACTACCGATAAGTATTGCATAGCATCAAATACTCACCCATTACTCACGATTACAGTACCACCGGATTTACCCTCGCTACCTATACCCATCCCCTCCAAGCAGAGCCAGACCATACCTGCGTCATCCATGGTACTATACGGTTTGAGACAGTCCTTCGCAATGTATCCCACGGTGCCACCGGCCCCCTGACAGTACACCCAGTCCTTATTCGTCGCGTCCAGGACAGTCAACACATCCCCGACAATAGCCGACAGCTCGTCGCCCGATGTGAGCCAGGCCTTCACACAGGTCACCTTTGGCTGAGCAAACGCTGTGGCTTTGGTCTTCTGCGCCCCGTCACTGACTATGTGAGAGCCTTTCGGATAGCGGGCAATGGAGTGCGGGCTTTTCCCCGGTGTGTTACGCACACGCACTCCGCTCGGGGGCTGTGAGGGAGTGTCAGAACGGAATGAATAGGAATAGGCACGCCATTGGAATACAAGGCGCAGGTGGGGTGGTCTTGTGCATGTGGGGTTTGCTACGCTTGCAGTTGTATGGGGAGAAGCCCTGTTTGGGTCTCAGGCCACAAATTAAACACAAACAAACCTGGTGTAGCCTAGGATGGAAATGATCGCGTGTACTCACACCCACAAGCGTGATTACACATCGACATACAGAATCACATACACACAACTACACATGCCCACTAACTATACATACTCACATACATACACAACCGCACATACCGCACGTAAACACTTATCTACGCATAATTACATACCGTCTGTGCTACTTCTGCGACCGGCACTTCTTGTAGGGCCACTTTGACCTTGCGCGGGTCTTCGAGTACTCGCACGCCAATAGCCTCCTCCATCAAATCGATCTCCTTTTTCATCAGCAGCACCTTCTCGTGCACATCGTTCTGCTGTGGACAGTCCCCCAGTGCCGCAATCATCTGGTCCAGTTGCTTTTGAGCCTGGGCTACGTACCGCTTCTTCTCCCTGCGGAGGTGAAAGAGTGCGATGCAGTTGTGTATGAGTGTATTGTGCTGGTTGGTTCGTATCGCAGCATACTTAAACAATAAAGAAATTGTATGTAGTGAATCTGATATGGTTGCATGTACATCCCCTTGATCAGGGGCTGGGAGGAGTGCACGCTGATGAAGAAGCACTATGGCTTTCCATCCGTTGTACTTCTGTTAGTTCCAATTCGATTCCAATTCACTGGCGTTAGCAGCGTGCGGCAAAGTCAACAATACGACACTCCACCGATGCTCAGTATAGATCGTGTGCACGTGACAAGTGCTGGTAGTCTACACAGTGCAGAAGGCAGTACAACAGTACTAAGTAAGTACACCACCGCTGCCTGTTGAAACTCTGTTAACGTACCATATCTGGATCTTGGCAGCCTTCAGCTTGGCCTCAATCGCATTGTCCACCATCTTCACATTGCCTGAGCTCTGTCCATACGAATCATCCTTTGTTTCACCGCTTTGCAGTAGCATGGTTTGTCGGCGGAGTCTGTATAGTCAATGAACAGGGTGAGATGATGTGACTCTTCAATGTGTATCCCAGGGGTGTGCACACGTGAATTGTAGCGATGCTCGCAGAAGACATAGTCTTAGAAGGGATTAAAGTCAAAGGGTGGCTACCAGAGGTCGAAATCATTGCCATGTCTACTATGCAAAAACAGAGTCATAGCTTGGAAGAATGGTTCTACACATTAAAACTGTTCTGTTGGAAAGCGACTGCAAATACATCAATCACCAGGCAACGGGATATCCATATATCCTCCAGTCGAGTGAAGCTGAGAAACATTCTATCGCCCACCGCTCGTTTGCTGTGTTTCTACGAGCGCCAAGTCTCAAGTGTACCTACTAAATGTAACCATCGGACTGTAACCTGTGCGTACCCAAACGCTGACCACAAACGTCGTCAGCAGTGCAACACATTTACACGCAAAGACGAGGCCGGTCATAACTGTATTATGTTTATATTACTCGTATGATAAAACAATTATAACCTAGGCCGTGCCAACATATGCGTAAGATTGGTACTGCGACACATCAACGTAAACGCGAACGAGAACACACTCTGCTGTGCTTTGCAAACATGAGCCTAGCTGAGGCGAGTTGTGTGTGGATGCGCAACGACACAAGTTAGGGATCAAAACACAGGCATGTATAGCAGCCACACACAAACCAGGCAACCAAACATGGACATGTACACATAATAGACACGTGGTCTCACCCGTCTGAAAACACAAGTCAGGAATCAAAACAAAACACAGGCATGTATAGCAAACACACACAAACCAGGCAACCAAACATGGACATGCACACATAATAGACACGTGGTCTTACCCGTCGGTGAGGCTGGCGTAGTCGCAGCTGATGACCAATCGACATTCACCAGCGACACGTTTGGTCGTAGAGGAGAGTGTAGCGACCGATTTCTTCCGAATCCCACCTGTTACAGTGTTAGATACGACGAGACGAATCAATACAAGACACTGTTGGAACGACGTGTACACGTGCGATGCAGGAGTACACACGAATGCGCGTTGCTATTCAAAGTCGAGTGCATGCAACCCACTGTACTATATTACTCATACCATATCGGAGTCAGTCACATGGGCAGAATAAATTGTTGACATAGCTGCGATTTCCATACCGCGCGAAACCGAGCACGAGTGTTGATAAGTTTAATCAGCGAGTGCGAAATAGACAGCTGCACAGTTCATTACAAATACAACCTTTGACAACGTATGTTCATGACAGCAACATGTGCATCCAAATCAAGGCAAGGGTGTGATGAATGTATATGTATATATAAATAAGAGTCACGCACAGGCACATATTCACGGCGACAAACGGGACAAGACACTTAAGAGGTTTGAGCTGAATTTACCTAAGCAGATCTTTTGGATAAGTGTGCTTTCACACTATACCGTGCTTGTTTGTATGTGTGTTTTTTCAACACTATGTTGAGCTTGAAGAAACATACCCATAAGGTTAGTTGAAGATCCCTCATCTTCGTATACACAGTACCACTTGGGGGTCGCGCTGTCGAGGGTCTTTGGCAGCTCGAGTGTCTGCGCAGGTGCATAGAGGAAATACAGATCAGTCAAATAACAACCCAGACTCGCGTGATCTAACCGATCTTTCCGCTTCCTAATATCTTGATAGTGAATAGCTACCAGAACATATCCGTATCTGTTTGTGTATCTATGCATATGTGTGAATATATCCGTATATAAGTTTATATGTGTGCATATATCCGTATTCCTTTTGTATCTAAGTATATGTGTGAATATATCCGCACTTGTTTTTGTTTCTAAGTAAAGGTGAGAACAAAAGCTCGCGTACAAAGAACCGTCAGACTACACGTACCTTGAGTAGCGTTATGTAGGAACCCATGAGCCTCGGCCTAAAGTCTTTCTCTTTCCGAGACTCTAGCGAGTATACCCGAATCTCAAGCTGCACATCATGTAGAGACTCCAAATCACTGCAAAGTGCGAGTTGCAAGTTGTGTCATACATATCAGTATACCAAAGGGATGTATCAGTCTTCAGTTCTTCAAAAGCATTAGAGAGAGAGAGAGGTACAATTGTACTCATGGGAGCGCAGATGACGGCCAGACATTTGCGCAACTCTTCTCTGAGTTACCGATGGTGGACAGCAGTGCTCGCGTTGTGTGTAACACGAAGTTACAGCGTAGAAATTGCGCAGGAGAAGAGTACCCTATCGCTTGGGTGCTGTGAAAGTGTGAGTATATGGCAAATTCTTCAACAACAACAACACTCTGATACAGCAAAGGTGACAGCGAAGAGCATACAGGTTCATCGGATGTTTGCTTAGACTAGCAGTGGTCAAGTGCACCACATGTACATACTAGCAGTGACCATGGGCACTGATGTGGGCCACATAGTTTATCGGATAGTGCACCACATGTAAATAATAGCAGTAGGAGCATTGGAGAATTCATCTGTTTCATTTTCATACACTTTGCCAAAAGCATACACACTGCCGGTGAAGGAAGCTGCACGGATAACACCTATGCATCTCGCTATTTACAAGTGACTACTGGAAGCAGTACCAACATATCCCCAAGTATTTCTATTTGTTGATGTTTGAGACTCGCAATAAGTCCAATCAATCTGTTGAAGAGCTCAACAACACCAGAGCGTGGGCGAGCAGTATCAGCAGCCCCAGCAAGTGTGCTCACATACATACACATGCTCAGGCACCAGCACATACAGTCCTTCGTTGCAGATAAGTTACACTTACAATATGAATTCTTCGTTCCAGATAAGCTCGTTCATTTCATTGCCTGCGGGCTTGGTCATCTTTCCCTGGCCACCGATAAGGATCTATGTGTTGCAGAGGAGGTGCATTAGTTGGGGGTGCTCATCATCGAATACGTGTTTGTTGCCTTCCATGACCATGTGTCACAACTGACGGCTTATGAGTCCAATGACTGAGTGGGTACCGAGTTATTTTCTAAGTGCGTGTTGCATTCGATAACTATCTAAGGAAGCCAAGTGATTTGTTGTATCCTACTTTTGTATAGTTTGATAAACGATGGGGTGCAGTGATTGAAGAGGATGCATTGCCTTAGACGGTGTGTGTGTATGTTCTACCTGTTTATTCTATGTGTATTTAAGTGCATGCAGATATAGGTGCGTGCTGTAGCATAGTATTATTTTGTCATCGATGGCTGTGTTCCTCACTACTGCATAGTATTATTTTGTGCATATATGCCGTATGCTCGCGATCTCAGCCACTGATTGAAAAATTACAACATTACGACAATATATCAGTGTGGTCTCCAAGAACATAAGTATAAAACTCGGGGTGCGTATGTAGACTCCACAGATACGTACGACAAGACCACGAGTATACCAGAGGTTGCACTTCAGCCTGCTGGTCCTGTCACCTTATGTAACAGTGCACTGGTTCACCGCGTGCGTACAGCTTGCACAAACTGTCACTCACCTCACAGAAGGAGTCCAAGAACTTGCCCTTCTTGTCCTTGAGGAGTCTAGTAATGTTGCGAGCATGGTCGACTACAGAGAATCAAGGGGAGGCTCAAGTAAGTATTAGGATACTCGTAAAATGACTGATAATATGCCGCCAGGATGTTTCCAGCAGAAAATTACGCAGCAATAGGTGCCGTTGCAGCTGTAATCGGCATTATATACAGAAGCAATAGTCTGTGCTGTTTCGCTTATGGCAGGGTGTACCGAGATTGACAAGGTACTCAGGTTCAATTAAGA